AGATTCGCCTCTCGCGGCGCGCTGAGTTAGTATCGCCGGTGCGCCAGCAAGCTCTGCTCCACAGCAGGGCATGCCCGACTGGCTCCCGCTAGCCGTGCGTCCTGGTGGCATCCATTGCCAGCTCAGGTAGCCTCAGGAGGTCGCCTCGCGCACGACGCGGCGTCGCACAGCACCGCTCAGCGTTACTACCGAGTTAGTATCGTCGACCCACAGAGGCTGCTCTTCTGTAGGTGGAGCCGACAAACGCCGGCCGGGTCGGCGCCGCCGCCCCCATCGCCGCCGCCGGGGCGGCGGCGGCCTCGGCGGACCATCCGGCGCGCCGCGCGCCCGTCGGGGAGGTGTTCACCACCCCTGGCTCCTCACCCCGCCACGCCTTCGTGCAGACGCCGTGTCACCCACCTCAAGCGCCGCTCGGACTCGGTTGACGGCCACCCAAGTGCTTGGCTCATGCCAAGCCGACCGGCAGGCGATTCCCACTCACTGCTAGGCTAAGCTCGGGCTGTCCGGCGTCAGTGTGGTGCCGTGAGGGGCGCCACCCCCAAAACTACGATCGTTAGTACCGTGCGGGGGCAGTGCATTTAATTCTGTCAAAAATCCAAATCTGCTCCGTGGAGCTTATTGGGCTAGGATCATACGTCCGGGAGGCCCCCCATGCGTGCCGTAACGATCGACAGCGACTGGCTACTCTGTTCACGTTCACACCTCGTAAGACCCCAAGACCCCGGTACAAAAATGCTCTCATGCTCCCGTGATTTCTTTTTTAGTTTCCCATAAGTAAGGTAGGTAGGTAGGTAGGTAGGTAGGGGCAGGGCAGGGGCCGGTCAGGTTTTTGCAGAATTTCATCATGATACTAACCCGTGGCTTTTGGGCGCACCTCTGGTGGTGTTCGCGCTCTGCGCGGCGCCACCGGCGGCGCGTCGGAGTGGCGGCCGCCACTCGCGTGGTGCCAAGAGGTTCTCCGGAACCCTTACGCGCACCACGGCGGCCGCCTTCAACTCCCCGAGCGGGGCCCTAGGACCAAGGGCGCGCTCGGCAAATTCCTGCGCTTTGCGCAGGGTCACAACCCCTGGGCCAGTTGTTGGTGGAACCACCTCAAGGCCAGCGCGCATGCGCGGGCGATGGACTGACTCCAGCAGCTCAAGGGCTCGCGCTCTCCTCACCGCCGCGCGCGCGTTGCAGCAGGAGTGCCGCAAACCGCAATGCGGCATTGTGCGACTACCGCATCGTGCCGCAGCTGCACCGCTTCTCCTCGGACATCATCGTGAACTCGGTGGTCCGCTGCGAGGACGCGGTCAGCACCGCGCCGGATCTCTTCTGAGAGCCGGCGCGGATCGCGGATGCGGCTTGAAGGCTCTGCCGGCGGATCTGTGGCCTGGCGCCTGCCAGACTGCGGGTCCAAATACCCCGGCGCTCGCGCGCGCCACCGCCCCCGGCGCGGGGTGGGATATCAGTTCGTGAGTTCTGTGTCCCCGTCCCTGTGCTCCACCTTCTTCTCCCGTGTCGGTCCCTGAGAACCCCACTATACAGCGCCACCTCGTGAGCTGTCCTGTGAGCTGTGTGTTGTGCGTCCAGCAGTCCGGACCCAGTGCTACGGCCGGTGACAGCGTGCCTCGTGTCGGCTCCCGAGCCAATCGTGTGCAGCGTGTGTGTGCGTGTGGGCCCGTCCTCCTTGCTTGGAGGTGTGTAAGACTGACCCGGCCAAGCAAAAAAAATATGCACCTGCTCAAATACATACAAGAAAGATCTCTGGCTGATCGAGGATCAAGAGCGAACACAAAATAACCCCTCCCGACTGACGGTACGGGAGCTGTTTTCTCGCTACAGGGTAGCGGTACGGGGCGCCGGAGAGCCTAGCGGTATAGGCGCGCTCGGTGTGAAGCGGCTCCTGCGCGGTACGGGCCTCTTTCCTATACCGCGCCCGCTGGGCCTAATGCTCGGCCAACCCTTTGCCAGCAGCGTCTCGGCGGACCCCGTTCCGAGCTGGGGATGTGGCCGCTCCGCACATTCACCTGGCTCCTCCGATCGGACGATGCGGTACCGGCCGGCCAGCGGCCAGCCGACACAATACCGCCTGATGCTGCCACAACATGCCGACGGGAAAACACCTCTGCCGCTGGTCCTTTCGTTCCACGGGTGGGCCGGCAACCTGTCGGAGCGGCCCGTGCTCCTCGCGCACGGGCGGCAGCACGGCTACATCGTCGCCGCACCGACCGGCTTTGCAGACGATTTGTGGCCGTCGTGGAACGGCGGCGGCAGCACACGCTCTCCAGGCCGGCTCGGCGCCACCTGCCTCGACCCGACGGGCTCGCTCTGCCTGGGAGGGTGGAGGAGCTGACAAACCCTCTCCGATTTTCTCGTATTCCCTGCAGGCTCGCTGTTTGACCCGCCCGGGACGAAGGGCTACTGCTACGCCTCCTGCGGCACGTGTGATGACGCCTGCTGGTGGACGACCTGCGAGGACTCCGTGGCACAGGCGGACTCACCAGCGTCCAAACACCGCCAACACAACACAACACGACAAGAAGCCTCGACACTCTCTCCAACATGCGGCGCAGGCGGCGGCGCTGCTCGACGAGCTGCTCGGCGACGTGTGCGTCGATGCGTCCCGCGTCTTTGCGACGGGCGTGTCCAACGGCAGAGCCATCTCTCTGTGCCGGGACCCTGGGAGGCAAGCTCCTCGGAGCCTCTCAGAGCCGTCCTAGGCGCCATCTTTCTGTACGAGCTCGCCTCCGACCCGCGCACCGCCGGCCGGTTCGCAGGCTCTCCGCCCCCAGACCCTTCTTGCCTGCTCCTGCCTCCACACCTGCGGTCCTGCCTCCACAGCTGCGGTCCTGTCTTCACACCTGCGCTCCTGTCTTCACACCGCCGGCCCGGTTCGCAGGCTACGCGCCCGTGGTTGGGTCCCCTCATGCCGGCTTCAACGCGCCGCCGCTGCACCCGCCGGCGGCCTTGCTCGCGCGTGTGCGGCGGGCTGTGAACAGCGCCTCTTCACACTGTCCCTGCGGGCAGGCGGCCTTCTTTGGCGTGTGGGGCGAGCTAGACACGACGGTCCCTCCCGCCGCCGCCAACGCAAGCGGCGACGGGGCGGTCGGCACCTTCTCTCCACACCTGTCTTTCCAAGCCGGACTGCTTTCTGTTTTAGGCGAGCGACGGCGTGGCAGTCGACACGAGCTACGCCGGGGGCTGGAGGTACACGGCGGCGCGCGCAGTCACAGCCCGGTGGGCTGAGGCGTCTGCCCGCCCGCGCCGCGACCCTTCTGGGAGGTTTCCGGGAGCCTTCCAGGAGCCTTCTAGGCGAACGGCTGCCGGCCCGAGCCACAACCGCTCGGACAGCCGCACTCGTGGGGCGGCAGAGGCTGCGTGGGCTACCAGTTTTGTGCGGGCGGTTCCGAGGTGCGATGCATTCGTTCGCCGAGATTCGCCGAGATCCCTCTTTCGACTGCATCTCACGGCGGTCGAGATTGTACCTCATCAGGTGGTCGAGTGCGTGTGGGGCGGCGGCGGGCACGACGCGCCCCCGTGGGCCGAGGACCGCGCTTCCTAGACGCAGCACCGACCCCCCTCCGCTCGAACGGGCCCGCGAGACGACGCGACGTTGGCCGCATGCACCTAGCGGCACTTCCCCCTCTCTCGCCCACTGTCCTCTCTCTCGCGCGTGCGCATGCTGACTCGCGCGTGCGCATGCCGCCCGCAGGACGCGCTCCTCCACTTCATGCGCCCACGCGCCTCGGACGCGCCGCTTGCCAGGACATGTCCTGGACGCTTCTCGGCACTTGCTAGGCGCCGCCACGCCGTCTCCCGGACACGTCCAGGACATGTCTTGGACGCTTCTCGGCACTTGCTAGGCGCCGCCACGTCGCACACGCGTCGCGCCTGCCTCCGCCGCGGCCGAGCTACTACGAGGCGGCGCAGCGCGGCGGCCTCTCCGCCGGCGACGCCGCAGAGGTCGCGCTGATTGCGACCGCCGTTGTCGCTCTCGCCGCCGCCGCAGCAGCTTGCGTAGTTCGGTGTCACCGCCGCCGCCGCCAGCGCCAGGCGCTGCTTTCGTCCCTTTCGCAGAGAGGCATCAGCGTCGGCCCTTGCGCCCCTCGCGCAAGCGCCGGCCGGGGCGGCAGCATGCGCACCGCCTCGCTCCCGGTGGTTGCGGTCCTCGAACCCGCCGCCGAGGAGATGGCATGCCAGATGGAGGACCCCTGGGCGGGCGGCGCCGCTACGGTTCCGCCCGCGGCAGACTGAGCGAGCCATTAGTGTACAGTTAATCGAGCCGCTCTCCGCGACGTGTATGTTTCATACATGCAAGTGAGCTTGTTTCGGGGGGGTCGCGTGAACCCCACCAGCCGACACGCTCGAGACAGAAAGATATGCATCATGCGACATGGCGGTGAAGCTACCGCACCCGCGGGCGGTGGCGACACTCTCAGACTGCGAGACCCAGGCGCCAGACCGGACATCAGCTAGCCTTGTCCCACGGCATTGGCGGGAGGGTCACGCCGAAGAAGGTGGCGGGCTCCGGCTTGGGAGGCGACGACTTGCACAGGACCTGCCCGTCCTGAGGCAGGATACCCGGCCCACCGCCTACGCCAAACTCCGTCTCCTCGCAGGCGAGTGCATCGTTCGGCTCCTCGCAGGCCCACCATTGGACTCCCGTCGCAGGCTCCTCGCCAATCAGCTCGCAGGCGTCAGGCTCCTTGTCGTCAGGCTCGGCGGCGGCGGTGGCCAAGGCTCTGACTGGCGACATAAGATGCGAGAACCGGACGCGAGATGCGCTGGAGAGAGACGACACAGCCGAAGTCAGGCCCAAAAACATGAGAGGACTGTGCGTGCGAAGAAGGGAGAGATGAAGTGCGCTAAAGAATTCATGAGACGTCGCCGTACACACCTCGGCATCGCCGACCCCCCCAGCCCCCTGCCGCCGCCGCCCGCCGCCGTCCCCGTCGCAACGCCGCCGCCCACTTTCTTTACTGCCGGCTCCAAGCTGGAGGCAGCAAAGGCGGCACGCAGACAGAACTCTGAGAATGACCATCGTGTAGCAGGCAGGCCCGGCTAACCGCGTGTGGTTTCTGTGTGTAGTGTACTCTCTCTCGACTTCTCTCTCTCTCCAGTGTCTCTCTCACTGTCACTCTCTCACTGTATACCGCAGGCCCCCCCGACCGCGTCGAACTCATCGGCGCGGGCTCTGTTTCTCGGAGGTTAGTGCACCAC